TTGCAAAGAGGAGGAGGATAGATTCAGATACAAGCACCCCATTTAAACCAAAGGGAGGCACTCTTGTTGTCTGTCCCATGTCTTTGTTAAGCCAGTGGAAGGTAAATCTTCTATTTTTGTATTGAACAGTTTCTTATTAAAAAAAAAAAAATTAATTTTAATTTTGAGGCATGAAATAAATGGTGCCAGAAAGGATAGAGTTTCACATCTCTAATTCATTTGCTCACACCTTGAATCAGAATTTGAATATGCCACTATATTTCTCTACTTTGCAAGATATCCCATCAGTTCTTTTAATGTTCTCAGGATGAGCTTGAAACCCATTCAGAGTCGGAAAGCATTTCCATTTTTGTCCACTATGGTGGATACAGATCCACTGACCCCAAGGTGATATCAGTACAAGATGTAGTCTTGACAACATATGGTGTCTTGTCTACATCTTATAAAAGTGTAAGAAACCATTACCTTCAGTTTTAGGCAGCTTTTAGTATTTGTAATTTGTTAATATATACTAAACCAAATCCATTCATCTTCTTCATCAAATTGATACTTTAATTATGATACAGGATGGGGAGAACAGCATTTTCCACCAGATCGACTGGTATAGGGTGGTGCTTGATGAAGCACATAGCATTAAATCTTCAAAGACCCAAGTTGCTCAGGCTGCTTTTGCCTTGTCCTCCCATTGTCGATGGTGTTTGACAGGAACGCCTATTCAGGTATACCTTCTACTGTCATACTTGATAAATATGCAAATATGCATGCTAGAAATTGCAATGGCAGGGACAAATCATAAGTGAAGCATATATTACACTGTGCTCTTTCAACAGTACTTGCCTTTTCTTTTTGTTTAGTGCATTTTTACAGAACTTTAATCAGTTGTTTCTCATTGAGTTTAGGAGAGGTTATTCATTGCTTTAACTTGTAACGTTATTTATGAAATCCATTGGTCATCAATTGCTGCAGAATAATTTGGAAGACCTCTACAGCCTCTTATGCTTCTTGCATGTTGAACCATGGTGCAACTGGGCATGGTATGACAACATGTTGCAATTGTTTGCTATTCTATTGCAGCTATTACAACTGTTACTTCAATCGGGGAATTAGTGGGCATGTTAGCTTATGGCATTACTAATATTGTTTTATCTGTAACTAGGTGGAGTAAATTAATTCAACGACCTTATGAGGGTGGTGACCCTAGAGGACTGAGATTGATAAAGGCTATTTTGAGGTCATTAATGTTAAGAAGAACAAAGGAGACAAAGGATAAAAAAGGAAGGTAATTATGCTTCTTGAGTTCCTTTGAACTTCTCTCTCTCTCTCTCTCTCTCTCTCTCTCTCCTGCCTTTAAACTCTTTGAAGAATTTTAACATTTGATGCTTCTGATTCAGGCCCATACTTGTTCTCCCTCCAACTGACATTCAAACCATTGAGTGTGAACAGTCAGAAGCTGAACGCTACTTTTATGATGCCCTTTTTAGGAGATCAAAAGTAAGTTTTCCGGTCACTAATTGTGGACCCAGCTGAAACTGTACTTGCAAACGTGCTTACCTCTTTGTTCACAGTTTGGTTATCTCTTAGTACTTCCTCATGCCTAGTTTTTATTCATAGTCTATTAATATTGAGTCTCTATCATACATGGATCTAACCATTTTTTATGCAAAATGTACAGGTCCAGTTTGATCAGTTTGTGGCACAAGGCAAGGTTCTTCACAACTATGCAAATATCCTTGAGCTACTACTCCGATTGAGGCAGTGTTGCAACCACCCATATCTTGTGATGAGGTGGAAATGGGTTAACTACTACCAATGTTTTTTCCTTGTTCGTTATATTGATTTGCTTCTAAGAATTTTTGTTTTGGATATATACAGTAGCGCTGATTCACAAAAGATAAAAAGTCGGAGTGATCCCCAAAAGTTTGCAGACTTGGACGAGCTTGCTAGTAGATTCCTTGAAGCTAATCGTGATGCTTCCACTTCAAAGCAGATTGTCCCCACCCAAGCCTATGTTGAAGAGGTTGTTGAGAGTATACGTCGGGGTGAAAACAAAGAGTGTCCCATATGCTTGGAGCTTGCAGATGATCCTGTACTTACACCATGCGCGCATAAGATGTGCAGGGAGTGTCTTCTCTCAAGCTGGCAGACACCAGCTACTGGTCGATGTCCAATATGTCGGCAATGGCTCAAATACACTGACCTTATAGCCTGCCCATCAGAAAGCCGTTTCCAGGCTAATACTGAGGGAAATTGGACGGAATCTTCAAAGGTTTTAAAGCTCTTGGATTGCTTGGAACATATCCTTCGGTCAGATTCTGGTGCAAAGAGCATTGTTTTCAGTCAGTGGACTGCATTTTTGGATCTGTTGGAGACCCCTATGAAGAAAAGAGGAATTGGGTTTCTGAGGTTTGATGGAAAGCTGTCCCAGACACAGAGAGAAAGGGTATTGAACGAGTTCAATGAGACCAGGCAGAAAATGGTTAGCAGAAACAATCACATATTTTTCTCTTTGATGTTAATATTTGGCAGTAATCTTTTTGTTGGTTAATATTCTGCATGCATTATGTTTCAGGTGTTGTTGACGTCTTTGAAAACTGGTGGTGTTGGTCTAAATTTAACTGCAGCATCTAATGTCTTTATAATGGTACTTTCTATCTTTGTATCTATCATTTGCATGTATTGGCTAAAATTAATCCTTTCCTCCCGGCTGATATTAAAAATGTTGTCTTCACCCTCTTTTAGGATCCATGGTGGAATCCAGCGGTTGAGGAGCAAGCAATAATGAGAATTCATCGCATTGGACAAAAGCGAACTGTTGTTGTTAGAAGATTTATTGTCAAGGTAACCCATCCACGGCATTTGAGCATGTTAAGGAACTTGGCTAATCTCATCCCCGCACGTCTCTTGTTTTTCATTCTGAATTCTCTAATTTGGTGATTGATTATGAAATGTGAATGATTGAGAAGCTGAAAAAAAATAAAAATTGATTGGTTTGCAGGACTCAGTGGAAGAACGCATGCAACAAGTTCAGGCCAGGAAGCAAAAGATGATTGCTGGAGCTCTCACTGATGAGGAAGTAAGATCTGCCAGAATTGAGGAGCTCAAAATGCTTTTCACATAGAGGCATTCATTATATGTATATGGTATTTAGGGGAGGAGAGAGTTGCATTTGGGGCTGCTTTTCTGTGTAGTTAGTCTAAAAAGAGAAGAGTCCCTAGTTTTTATAAATCCAGGGCTTTCTCTCTTTATCTACTTTTTTGGGAAGTTGATTGTGTTTGTGTAGAAACTTGACCAATCAACAAGTTAACTAACTTATTTTCTTGTCCGATAAGCAAAAGAAAATAAGGTTTTGGAAAGAAAGATGACAAGTTATGCGAATATTCTATAAATGACGTATATATCCCTGACCAACAGATACTTGGTTTTGACTGGTTTGGCAGCCTCTTTCTGTTTTTACAGCCTTGCACATGCAAAACACCGGTCCATACATCCTGTGGGCTAATCAAGGCTTAGAACCGGCCACGTAATTGGCATCTCAGCCGTTGGATTGAGATGAGTGGTACGTGGAGATGTGGGTTTGAACGTCGTCTTTTTCGATGACGTTACTAGTGGCTCCTACTCAAAATGGTCGGTGGTGGGCCCGGTTTAAAAAATTATAATTTGTAACGTACGCATTTTCATATCAGTTATATGATGCCCTCTCAGTCACCGTTAACTTTCGGTTGGGGAGGTTGTTGGCTGGTCCTGGTCTGGTCATATATTATAGCTGGATGGAGCTGCCAATTGCTTTTCGGCTCAGCTTCGAATTAGAGAGAGAGAGAGAGAGAGAGATTACTTTACACTTTCCTTTCCATTGTTAAAAGGTGAAGACATTTTTTCGTTGGTGAAAGTTTGAGAGAAATTTCACAATTCACATTTAACTTTTAAGCATTGAGATTCTTGTAATATTTTCAATTAGTTGACTGCTAATTCACTAATAACGTGTTTAAACTAGGGGTGTGAATTTCCTCTTTCAACTTCTTTTCCTTAATTCTCTTGTAATTAGCACGTTGGCAAAATCCTTTGTTTTTCTTTCGATTGAGTTGTGTAGACATGCCGCAATTATGTCATGGTTAGGGCAAGATAAAATTAGATGAATTGTGTGTGTCTAGAATTTGACAAATTGTGTGGATTTGGAATTTGACAGATTGTGCAGTCAAGCGAAGAACCTCCTCTCAATCTATTTTATAATTATTTTTTCCAGAACTTATATTCTTTAACTATATTAGATGTAAGGCTTTATTGAGGGCTTTTGGATTTGGATTTGCTAGGATATCATGTACTTGTGCAATTTAACGATTAAAGGTGAAGGAAATAAAAGTGGAGAAAGTAACTATATTGGAATTAAAGTGCTGAAAGTATAGATTAAGTGAAATTGGAGTTTCACATTTCCATAATTTTCGCCTTATAGCCTTCTTAAAGTTGAACACAAACCACATTTTTCTCTCACTTTAAATTTTGAAAATCGAGAAAATCATGCAGAAAAGAGACACGAGTATTAAGTCATGTAACACTAAATTCGTGAATCCTAGTTTTATGTTGAGTGAGGACTAAATTCGCGGTGTGTGGCAAATAAAGGAAGTTAATAAAATAAAATAAAGTCAAAAGGATAATTTACACTTCAAAAATCAGGGAAACAAAGGTGTGCGTGCGTGTTGTGATTAGCCTGCCCAACGCGAAACCGCCAAAGACGGGGTGTAAAATTGAGCCAAAGCCGTGTGCCAACCATACGTCCCCAAGCTCAGCTAGCCCCCACCCTTTCAATTTTTTGACCCTTTCGTCCTTTCTCTCTCCTCAAGCCCCCAAAACAAAACCCTCTCTCTCCTCGCTCTCTCCGCATATATAATTACACAATACCCCTCCACTCCTTCCTACTCTTCTATTTATATCTGTTGCCAGACGCCAAACCAAATCCCTCACTCTCTCTCTCTCTCTCTCTCTGAGATCTCATCACCTCAAAATCAATGGCAGACGCACCCAGACCAAGCTCCTCCAGCAACCGCCGCCAGCCCAGCCGCCTCCAGCGGCGAGCCCCGCCCCCTTCTTCCTTACAAATAAATCGCGTCCCCGATTGGAACGTCGCTATCCCCCTCCTCTCTCCTCTCGTCTCCCCCGATTGCCCTATAGACACCACCAAATCCCGTGACCAGCACCAGCAGAAGGAGATGCCACGTCATCATCAGGGGGCGGAGGCCGAGAAATCGGCGCCGTCGATGGTGTTCAAGAAGTGGCAGCATCCGGCGGCGCCCTTCTGCTACGAGCCGGCTCCGTTTGTCTCGGCTTTTGTTCCGGTGTAGCCGGGAGCAGCAGATTCGATCCCGTTTGGGTTTAGGAAAATCCTGAAGAAATTTTTAGTCTTTTTTTTTAAATTTTATATATAATTTAATTTGTAAAATAGTCTCTGTAGATCTCATCTAACGGTGTATGTGTGCTCATCGAGTTAATTTGTGATCAAACATGCACGTGATTTTGCCAATTGTAAAATTGCTAATTCCAATTTACAGTTCCATAGAATTCATTTTTATTTTTATTTTTGGTTGATGAATGAAATGTGCAGTTCTTCTTCTGTCAAGTTTGGGTTTTGGAATTGGATGAAGATTGGTTGGGAAAATGAGATGCCATTTTCATGGTGGAAAACTGATTTGTTTAATGATTGGATCCAACGGTCATGATGTAGTCAAAGGGTTCCTTTTTCCAGCACCAGTTGCTCAGTCTCCACCATAGGCGTAAAGCAAATTAGTATATAATTAGAGCTACATATCCTAAAAGTTGTCCATGCTTGCTCATCGTATATTTAAATAACACAAACAAAACAAATTTTGTGACATCTTTTTCATGTCTTTTTGTTCATTTTAAAAAAAGAGCCAAAGGTTTAGGCGACATTTTTGAATGGTATCTTGTAATCAACGGGACCAACACGATCATTAACAGTTGCATATGATAATTATTTGTTACTCGTAGACTCGAATTTCCTAAACTCGAATTTCGAACATGTGCAATTACTCGCAAAACACTCGTATCAAGTAATTCATCGAATGTTTTACATTCACGAGTTATGTGTTTAGTAACCAATTTGACCAACAGTTACAATCATCTACATCCCTTCTAATGTAACAAAAAAGGAATCTTGTTTATCGTGAGTTCACGGGTGATGACAAATCATTATAGTCATACGCGCATTCCTTCCAATATAACAAAAAATAAGAAAGTCTTATTTGTTTTGAATTAGTACTACTAACGTACATGAATTAGTCTCCACAAATTTGAGTTATTTTGCAATAGCTTGAACTTGAATCCATTTTGATGTTTTCTTATATTGTTTGGTTCACCACTTTAGACCAAACCAAGTTTTGCCTTAAAGTAATAGATAAAATAATAAGAAAGAAATCATACCAAAAAAGAAAAAGAAGAAACTCCAAAGAACATTGGACTCATCACGACATTATAATTCATCATAAAAACAAAAGAAAACAAAAAACAAAAAAATTTGATTATTGGAATGTAAGATAAGAACAATAATTTGGGTCAAATGATTTTTGCCTTATTAACAAAAGGGTTATTCAGTTTCTATTTATGCTTTTTCATAATCTTTTATTAATCAAAGTGTTCTTTAGCACCAAGGGTCTAACTCAATGGAAAATGACATTAACTTGCAAATAAGATGTCTTAAGTTCAAATTCTCATGATATCTTAGTTGTGTGCGTGTGTGTGAAAAAACCTTCATTCTCCTCCCTTTCTATGTAGGTTAGACTATCGCTTATAATAAAAAAAGTATTATTCAGTTTCTAATTATAAAAACCATAAATAGGAACTGAGCGGTCATTTTCAACAATAAAGAAAAGCCAATAATTAAACGACTTTGTTTTTTTTTCTTTTTCTTTACTTCTTTTCCAGCCAAAATTTATTCCAAAGCACGTCACACATGAAGAAGCTATACAACAGGGGCCTATGTGTGAATTTCCAAAAATACAGTCAAAAGGCAGAAAATATTCGAAGAGAGGGATTCTTTGGAGCAGATAATAACAGATAAATGGTCAAATATTCCAAGCTTTTGTTGTCTGATTTTCTTTGGATTTGTAAAATGAATGAGTGGAGCTGAGGTGTGTGACTGTGAGTGATGGTGGCCTTGGTCTTCCATTATTATCTTATCTGTTCAAATCAGATGACCAGACCAATTCATAACAACAACAACAGTTCGTTGATTTATATATATCAAAAGCAGAGAATAGTAAAACATTCAAAATATCAGAAAATATCGTGGTTAATGTAAACATTAAGAATTGAAATTATTAATTAAATGAGGATAATATGGTAAATTTACACTTTTTCATATTACAAAAAATAAAAAAATAAAAAAAATCAGATAATGAATCCTATTTTTATGGAACACAACTATCTATTATATTTTTTAATTTTAAAATAAATTAAATTTTTTTTATAAAAAAAACCTCTCACAAACACGGAAGCGCATGCGAAAAATGCTAGTGTTTTTATAAAATAAGTAATATTATTTTCTTTTATTTATAAATTGTAACTCAGTCTGGATGATGGACCAGCCTGTGGATTTATGCCTACACTCGACCCTTTAGCCCAATGAAGTCCAGTTGGGCCTCAATCTCCAACTCATGAATTTTGTTTGTTTGTATAAGAAGAACTCATGATGTTACAAGAAATCTCTTTTTCGATAGTAAAACACTACAAATCTTAACTCTAAGTGCATGTTGTTATGGAGAAGAACTTGTGCGGGGACTTCTTTGTCATGCGACAGATTGAGTGGCACAGAAGTCCATAATCTGAATTATAAATCAAAACTTGTAATACATGTTATGTTTTAGTTGAACAATAAATGACGTACACCCCCAATCTATTACGTGACGAGAGAATCTTTGTCCAAATTTCTCTTGCAGTCACCCGAAAAAGTGAGAGAGAAAAAGAGGAATATAGTCCAACATTTTCCAAAGTAGATGACCTTTTCAATGTTAAGAGCCTCTATTACCTTTCATCCTTTTTCACTTTGGGAGTTCAGCTTCTTGAAAAGTGAGAAGAGAAAGATCCCTTTGTCTTACTTTGGGTATTGAAAATGTCATACTCACACTTACACACAGCACACCTTTTGAACAAAACAAAACAAATGCCAATATTGTCGAAGTTGCAAATCGACAGCACTATATGCTATATGATCTCTGACTGTTTGGCAAATCTAGAAGGAAATCCAGGACTGCACAGTCGTTTGGACCTTAGAAACCATGCAAATACAAGAACCCACCACAAGTTACAAAGTAAACAAGAAAACCCACTTTTCCTTTCCACTATTCAAGTTTCCAAGTAAATTTTAATTTTGTATATGTACAAACAATTAAGTTAAAATCAAAATAAACTTCATGTCATATGTTGTAGCCTTAAATTTATATAATTTATAAGGAAAATGCTAGGTTTATCACGTTTTTATACCACATTATGTACCACATCTCTAATAGAAGTGGACCTTATTGTATTGGTAGGCTCTACCTCTATTAGAGAAGTGATACACAATGTGATATAAAAATATGATAAGCGTGGCATTACCCAATTCATGTGATAAGCGTGAAATAAAAAAAAACAATGAAATGCCAGAGTGGTTTTGTGGAAGAATATCAATAAGATCAATGTCACAATCCGACAATTGGAGGGAGACAACAAAAACCTATTTGGCTGCTGTTTAAAGTGTCACTGAATTGTCAGTTGGTCGAGGTCCTGCAAGGGTCTTTTTCCTTGTGAATTTTCTTTAATTATTATCATTTTCAGTGGATCATAATAATGTTCTTCTGTTAACCTAGGTCCTCTTACAAAAGTTTCCATTTTTGGGGTATATTTCTTGGGTCTGCAGGATCAGATGACCAGTTGAGTGTCGCCTATAATGTTGGGCAGACCCAAACTAGCATATTTGGCCCATGTCTAACCCAAAATTTCCCATATCACAAGGCTATTGGATGACACTTCCCCTTTTATTTTTATTCTAAGTTTTTGAACAAAAAACGTCAAATCCAAAACACCCATTATGTCAAAATTATGAAATTTGAGACTAAAGAAAATTTTACCCCAATGTGAATTAACCAAATTTCTTAAATTCGTTATCCATTCATAAACAAAATTAGCTTCACGATGAATATGCTTGAATTTGACTTACTTTATGAACGCAACAAGAAAATAAATGTCTCTCACTACAGTATAGAGTGTAACCTCCAAAAATTCAAATGCATCTAGTGATGCAATATTCAACAATCGATTTGAAGTCGTTAACATGCCAAAGAATACTTTAACCCAAAGTTAGGATTCTCTCTTTTGTATTGCTAATTTTTCACCAACTTTTTATCGTATCGTTTAGAGAGTATGACCAAATTTGAGTTGGATTAAATTTAGAGGCAAGACCATCAAATGAAGTTATGCCACGATCACCTTCTTTTTCTTCTTTTCAATAACTTAGACCTTGAGAAAGAAAAAAAAATGAAAAAAAGGGGATGAGACAAGTAAGAGATGGGCTTCTGAAACAAGACAAGCATTAAAATGCTCAAAGATTAGAGCTTGATTGATTATTATTATTATTATTATTATGGAGTTGTTTACAGATCAATGATTTCAATAATCAAACCAATGGAGTCAATTGTCAAAAAAGAAACCTAACCCACCCACCCCAACCCAAAAAAAAAAAAAAAAAAAAAAAAAACTAAGTGTGAACACCTCCTCCTCCATGAAAGTGACATTTTATAATGTTTATAATATGTAAAGTCTAAAAAAGTTGAAAAGAAGAACCCAAGCAAAGGACCTATTAGTGTAGTGGTTTGGAGTATTTACTCCATCAGGCAAGGTCCTCAGTTCGAGTCCTAGCATTCGTGTAGTGTGTGTGAATTTAGTATGTTATCGTTCCTCTTAATAGGAAAGGTCTTAAAAAAAATAATGAAGAATCCAAAAAAGTGAGCTTGTGGGGGCAAAAGTAGGGCAAAAGTAGAACAGCCTGCTCCCATAAGGATTCCCATCAACAAAGCCACTCCAAACACAAACTTACATGCAAATGGCGCGAAAGCTTTGATCATCTTTTTTTTATTTCTTTTTGTTTGACGTTTCTTTTAGGCAAACCCCACCTTGATTGATTGCCACAGGCACATGGTAAAGCCAATTGTTTGAAGCTAGCTAAATGTATTGCTCATATTTGCCGTGTCAAATTGGGAGAGCAAATTTGCAAATTGGTTTTTTGTGTGACTCATTCAAACCAAATTGATGTACAGAAATTGATCACTCTGCATAGGAGGAAGTATTTGACTAGCTGATTAAAAAGAGCATTTCTTTTGCTAATTTGTTTTGGACTGATAAAGGCAAAATACGCATGTCTATAATGATAGGCAAAGCTGCTAAAGAAACACACACACAGAAAAGGAAAGGTGTGCCAAGTTGGTCCTCTGATCCTCTAACTGTATGTCTTTTGTGCCCTTTAATTGATGGGCACTTTCTAGTCTCATAACCAAATACTCATTTCCATTGTATGATCACTTTGATAAAGAACAAAAAGAAAAAAACATATATATTCCATTCTAGAACAACTTTGAGAATTTGCTAACAATCTAACATCATCAATGTGGTCTCAATTTCAATAAAAACTTGTATATCACGAGAATCTTTTATTTCTCATCAAATTTTTTCTGCAAACCAAACGGAACGGTAACTTCTTCTCCTCAATTTGAAGCCATTGGAGAAGGACTAGAAGCTTAGAGAAAGTGGAAAAAGGCATGTTCCACTGCACTAAAAGAGCTGCAGACAGAGGCCACCTAGCAGATGGGCACCACATTAAATCACGTTTTAGCCACATGTTTGATATCTAATTTTAATTAAGTAGTAGGAACATGAAGTTTTCTATATAGCTAGCTGCTAGCTCTTGAATTCTTCTGACATTCACGTGATCTCCATATGAAGGCATTTGCAAAATGGAGATGACCTTCCCACATGATTTTATTCTAAGAGCTTAAATATTATCATATAAATGAACCTTAAACATGATATTGAAAAAAGAGAAAACAAATTAATCAAATCGTCAAATGGTGTAAATTCAAGTTAAACTTTGTCTTTTTTTTTAAAAGTATTTGTCACAATAATTATCGATCGAAAAATTATAGAATAGTACTGAATTAGTGGCGAAACTCAAGAATTTGTGCATAGGCTAGAGATGACTTGGTCATTGTTTATTTTTGTTATTATTTGTGAGGCGGTGATGAAAGCCCTCAAGTCTTAACCTTTTGTAAGTTGTCTGCATGAAAAAAAAACAAGTGACCAACTCCCACTAGCTATGATTAACTTTTGACAAATGCCCTTCATGAGTTTAGTCAAGTTTCATCCCTAGACGTCTTTTTCCACGATATTATCACCAAAAAAATCTAAGATTGAAAGGGCAAACAGCTTAAACTATTCAAAGATTTTAACAATTCTTACTCGCTTTACTTGCTTTTATATTGGGAAAATAAAAAGGCAAAAAGACAAAATCAAAGGAAATGAAACAAGGATATAGAGAAGAAAGGGAAAATTGTGAGTTGTTAGATGGAGAAGTTCCAACTCATCCACGGGCCATGGCTATACTTCGATGAGAGGCCCAGCTGAAGTGTCAATCTGATCAAGAACATAATTAGAGGAGCAGGTGACACCTAAATCAATTAATTCTAGCTAGCAGCAAAAATTGCAAGCTAAAAAGCAACAAACTTGCAAGCTAAAAGCAGATATGTTTATAAATCATCACCGAAGTATTGGACCCACCACCACCATCCCTTACTTTATAACCTATTTTCCTATTATAAGGGAAAAATATTTGTCTATAACGAGAATAACACTGTTTTGTTATTGATAGTCAATCAAGTTATTTACGTGTGATAATTTTTTCATTTGACATAATGTGATTGATCGAGAATAGCAAAACAATGTTATTCCCGTTTTACTTAAGTTTTTCTGCATGACAAGGGATCCAAATCCAACATATATGCAGGGTCAGAATGTTAGGAAACTTAAACAGTTGACCCCATTGGAATTTAGAAGATGCACATACAAGTTGCAAAGCAGTTTGCCTACCATTTTACTATTTTCAGAAAGATATACAAACACCTAACTGAAAACGTATGTGCTTATTCTTATAGATAGGTCTAGTTGTGACCATATTGTTAGGGCAGTTCCTAGTGCTTGGGTCAATTCTGTTTGTCTGTGTAGAGTATGAACGCTTGGATGTGAAGTCAGAGAGACCCTAGGGGTGATTGTGGTTTAGTTGCTTCTTTTTCTTGTTGACCCAAAAGATATCCTCAAGTCAAAACCACTTACCTATTATTGTATTTGTTGTTCCTTAATCATTCAATCTGAAACCCAGAAAAGCAAAGCTCCATGTTTGACTTGGATACATTTTATTGAATAAAATTATCCATTTAAATTTCACATTTTGTTTCGTTGGTATTCAATGAGAAACCAAAAATCTGATAAATTTCACAAGAAGAGACCCTTATTTAAAACTCTAGTAATTTGAGTACCTACCTGACCCATCATTCATCAGAAAGGAGAGAGAGAGAGAGAGAGAGAGAGGAGAGAGAGAGAGAGAGAGAGAATATTGATTAAAAAATTCCACAAAAACAAAAGAAACAAACATATTCAAAACCCCAAAAACAACGGAAAGTCAGAACCACTTTCAAATGTTTTGAAAATTTTCAACTACTTTAAATACCAATCAATTGCAATTTGCAAGCAGAAAAATGAGAGCGCCTCATAAACGCTGCTTCAGAACACACCACCAGTGATTGATTCCCACTCACCCACATACACACAAAGAGAAAGACACCATCTTTTTCCCTCCAATCAATTACGCATTCTCACTCTCTCCCCACGCTGGGAGTTCTCAAGTACCCAAGTGCCAAAGCACTCAAATTCCTTACTGCTTCCTCTGTTTCAACTTTCTTGGGCAAAATCTCAGCTGCCAATCAATACCATAGCCCGCACGCCCAAAAGGGTATCTCATATTTGCACTTGAGGTTGAGTTTGTGCAAGGGTTTTAATTCGACCCAGTTGCCGTGAGCTTCAGATCTTTGCAGCAATGGTTGCAGAGCCTTGGATTTTGAAGATGGGTAACCAGGTAAGCTCCAATCTCAAGCATGCTCTTCTTCTTCAACCCTCAAAGAAATCAAGCTCCAAAAACCTACCCACCAGCAACAACGCCAAAACCCAGAAGCAGACCATAGGCATTCTCTCTTTTGAAGTAGCTAATGTTATGTCCAAGACTGTGTACCTCCGCAAGTCCCTCACAGACTCCGAGATCTCAAAACTCAAAAACGAGATCTTGAAGTCTGAAGGAGTACTGAACTTGGTCTCGTCCGACGAGGCCTATCTTATCGAGCTTGCAATGGCCGAGAAGCTCGAAGACCTGAACCGGGTCGCTGCGGTTGTGTCCAGGCTTGGAAAAAGGTGTGTTGAGCCTGCTTTGCAGGGTTTTGAGCATGTCTATGCTGACCTTGTTAATGGGGTTATTGATGTGAAGGAGTTGGGGTTTTTGGTGAAGGACATGGAGGGTATGGTTAGGAGGATGGAGAGGTATGTGAACGCCACTTCGAATTTGTACAGTGAAATGGAGGTTTTGAATGAGTTGGAACAGGCCACCAAGAAGTTTCAGCACAATCAACACGAGGAGAGCAAAAGGGCTTTTGAGCAGAAGCTGATTTGGCAGAAGCAAGACGTGAGACACCTCAAGGATGTTTCTCTTTGGAACCAAACTTATGATAAGGTTGTGGAGTTGCTGGCCAGGACAGTTTGTACCATTTATGCTACTATTCGTGCTGTTTTTGGTGACTCTGTTTTGGGCAAGAACCATGTTGGCCTAATTGGCGGAGCTTCACCACCTCCTATGTGTGGTCCGGTTGACGCGAGAAGGGTTTCTCAGGTGGCTTCTGAGCCACTGAAGAGAGTTCTTAGTAGGAAAAACGGGTTGCATTCGGGTCCAGTTGAGAAAGCTATGGTGGTGAAAAAGGGGTCAGCTTTTAAGCCTCAATTTGATTCAAGGAGAGGTGAATTGGGATTGTATCGAGCAGAGGATTTTAATTTTCCGTGTGGAACTAGCCCGGGGAGGATTTTCATGGACTGCCTTAGAGTAAGCAGTTCTGTTAATGATGATGATGATGATGATTATGTTGGTGCTGGTAATTATGAGGAAAGGAGTAGCCAAAGTTCAGGTTGCAGTGTTGCAAATGGTGGTTTGAGGAGAGACTATCCGAACCATTCAGGTTGTTTCAGTCGAACCCAAATGGGTGTTCAATCAAAGAGTGGTGGGATGAATGGTGCCAGGTTTGGTCCCAAGAGTAAGTTAATGGTATATGCTCCTCCTTCTACCGTGGGAGGCTCTGCTCTAGCTTTGCATTATGCTAATGTTATAATTGTTGTCGAGAAGTTGCTTCGCTATCCTTATCTTGTGGGTGAGGAAGCTAGGGACGATTTGTATCATATGTTGCCAACCAGTTTAAGGATGTCCCTGAGGACTAATCTCAAGTCCTATGCTAAGAATTTCTCAATATATGATGCACCTCTTGCGCATGATTGGAAGGAGACTCTTGATGGGATTTTGAGATGGCTTGCCCCGCTGGCACATAACATGATCAGATGGCAGAGCGAGCGTAATTTCGAGCAACAGCAGATTGTTACGCGAACAAATGTTCTTCTGCTACAGACATTGTATTTTGCTGATCGAGAAAAGACGGAGGCAGCTATTTGTCAGGTTCTTGTTGGGTTGAATTATATATGCCGTTATGAGCATCAGCAAAATGCATTATTGGATTGTGCAAGTAGTTTTGATTTTGAAGACTGCATGGATTGGCAATTGCAATGCGGAGCTTCTTTTGTTGATTGACTACATTATTGGATTTGAAATCGTGAAGGTGGTGATAGGGAATTCTTCTTGATTCCTATTGCTTAGGTGAAAACATGGATGATAGTTCAACAGGATGTGAATATCTCAACTTTTCACACTGAAGGCTTTGATCTTCATTAATGTATTTTGTTGCAAGGTATGGGAAGCTTTGACTTCTGAAGTACATAATTCTAATTATTTATTAGAAAAGGGTTTCCTTCTTTCGTGTAGAATTGTACATGTGTTCTTGTAAAGTTCGTAGTTTTTTCTTAGTGAAGCCTGTTCATATTTTTGCAATTCATAATGTTATTCTGGCTAATGTTAATCTCTTAATCAGTAATGGTTCACTCTGGTCACGACTGTTAGTTTCTGATTAATTCATGACCTCTAATCTGATGTTGTTGTCCACAAATACACACATACTAACAAAGATATTCTTAGATATATTTATCCTATTCTCATTTGGTTATGCTAGATCGTGTGCTAGGTGCCAAACTATGAAAGAGATGAACTAAAAGTGTTAAATGCTTGAGAACAATTGTGAGCTGAAAGTGGGAGCCGCATTAGGGAGAAAGGAAATTTCCTATCAAATCCGAAACGGTGCTTCTGCAAAGCAGTGCGGCATGTCCTTATGGAAAACCTGAGATTACTGAAGGTGCCTAGTTGCATTCCAAAGAAAGCGTGAAGGTGTCATTGGGTTTGAAGCACTCCTAAGGTTCAAGTATCTTTTGCACACCAGCTAATGTTTTTACTGTTACTATGAGGGTGCAAGCTGTAATAACTCAATAAGCTGCCGGTTAAATTGTTTGAGGGATTGTGTCTATGTTGTCATCTTAGATGTCCTATAAGGAGGAAGTCATTTCATGTTGTCTGATTCATGACTCACTTGGAATTTAAACTAATCTGGCTCCTCTTACACGTCATCAATGTACAAATTTAATCATATTTCAATGATGCATCTCTTTCATGGTGGTCTGGTTTTATAGTTTTACAGCTCACATTTACATGGAGTTAATCTGTTTTGGTATCTGTTGTTTTCATTGTATTGCCTGCTTGTAGCATTTTATTGTAGCTGTCTTGTATCTAGAGGGATATGATATGGGAGAGTATTTGATCTGTCTGGATGTTCTCACTCCCAGCCAAGTCATTTGTATCTGTAGGCCTTTGACACAGGAAAATCACACGATGACAAGGGGAAAAAGAGAAAGAATCTATGAATTGAAGCAAATGCCTTCATCAACTCTTCCTTTTTAACTGAATGTTAGATTTTGAACATTGCCGTTGCATTTCTAAAGATTCAAGGAACAGTATAATAATTTTTACTGTTCCATTGACACACTAAAAACTGAGTTTATTTACCAGGGCTGAAGACCCTTCTATTTTGATGCCCTGAGATTCCAGATTACATATAATGCAGAAGTGTTTTTCATGCATTAAAAATCTACCCTGCATGGTAAATTCTGCAAATAGTCTTTCATCTCTCTTTCAGGAAGGGTTTCGGGTTAAAATGGACAGCGTCCAACTGCACTACTTCTCTCTTCTCGTTTCATATTTGGACTCTGCGATGAGCTTCTCATTTGCAAATTTGGATAAATCATTATCTATCAATAACCAGAAGAAAAAAGAAGAAAAGAAATAGGAATAGTTACAATGGTGAAGGATTGTGTCAGCCTTAAAAACAATCAATGTGTATTTACAGCTCTATCCAGCAAGGAGTTGCTTGCAGGCAATGTCATGCGGCGTTAAACTGGCGGTAGGAGGAGGTAGAGGAGGGCACCTGCGCAGCGACTGGGGTATTGAAAGAGCCTTCAATATTATTAATGTGGCTTTTGACTTTTGACATCATTACGTCATACTATGTTTGGTAGTAGGAGTAATGAAAAATTAGGAGAAGTAAATCATAAATGGAGGATGGAGAGGAAGTGTGTTACGATCACAAGGCTAAAACGCAACAAATAAAAACATCACAATCTTTCTACATAATTCCTTGAATTTTTCTATTCTTTTTAAAACCAAGGATTCTAAATGCTTAGGAAATTTTAGCTTTTATTTTCCTTCAAAGATCAGTGTGAGAATCGAACTCTTGTCATAAGTGTAAAAGTATAAATGCTCTATCGTTAAAGTTATAAGCTTTAAAAAACCCACATTTTTATAGGATGGCTACTGCAAGAGGAACTTGCAATAATTAATGTAGAGACTATCAATGAGAGTAAGGGACTTATAGCTCAAGTCAATGGCAAATTTATGATTTGAAAGTCGACTGGACAAAACTTATGCACTAAACTTGACAGTACAAGTGAAGTTCATTAATAAACATAAAAAGATACACATAGTCGGGGGACGTAATGAGTATTATCCTCAAATGCATGTTTATACATATATAAAAGCTTAACAAAAACCACAAGTAAATGCCATGCAATACAAAACAACACTATTTAAATATAACATTTTACCCTACGAGCAGCTTCGAAGTCTTAAATTCTTAAATTATTGATATTATTAACAAACTCTCTTTCATACATGTTTTAGATATCTAGGAAAATAAACAAATTTGAAGTAAAATTTTTACATGCGTTAAGTACCACCCATTAACACACTAAAATGCCTATAAACGACTTGATAAATAAAACCATTGACAACCCAACCCATGAACAAAACTAAAAAAATCTATAAAAAAAGATTGATAGATAACACATGACAACCGAACCCTGTAACACAAGAACTAAATAACCCAACTCATTAACACAACAAACTCATAACCCAACCCATTAATAGGCATCAAACTTAACGATAAAGAGAAAATGAGAGACAAAAGATCTAAAAAAAACAGACAAACTAGACTCGCACCAGACATAATAAGATAAACTTGAGACAGAGGTAGAAATAAGATTTCCACCTTGCCCACAACACCACCCACAGAGAGGCGGAGTGAGAGAGAGGAAGAGGCATTCAATTTTTTGGGTTATTTGCTGGCATCGGATAAATTTTTTTGGGTTACTTCGATTACCTTTATTTTCATCCTCTCAGCTACCCTGCCTCTCTATGGACAAAGTTACAAAGACTTAACTAGAGAAAAGAATATGTTGATGGCTGGCTGGGCAGCTAGAGATAGGGTTTCCTTTTCTTTTTTGGTTGGGGTAACATATCTACCTTCTTTTTTTTTCCTGAAAATTTTCGGCCGGGCAGCTGCCTAGTCAAAAACAGACTAAATGCTCAAGTGGTTAAGAGTAGTTTACCCATGCCTTCGAGGTCTTGTGTTCAAATTGCGTCTCCCCCGTAATATGATTTATGTAAACAAAACAAAACAAATATAAAAAGAAAAAGTATCGGTTAGGCCCGTAAGTAATTTTGAAGCCTGCACTGAAGTATTGTTGGGCCTAAAAAGCAAAGACTTGGACCATTGAGCCTATTGGCGGCAAGCCCAGCCAGTGGCACCACGTGGAAAACCATCAACTGCCTTTCCGTTCAATTCAATTCCTCCATCACCTCTCCGTCGTTTTCCTTTCCCTCATTTTCATTTCCCACAGTTTCTCAGCAACCAAACGGAGCATCAACCACTTGAAAGTTTAACTCTTGCACTCTTCAACTTCATCAGCCGATTCAATTTCCTCCTCCTAATTCAAACTCTTACAAGCGCAAAACGACTCCGAATCTGCCTATATTGAAAGCATGAAACCAATGAGCTACAGAAGGTTCGTTTCTATAAATGCAAATATATTACATCTCTTCTGCATATAACAAGATCTTGCTTTTAAGAAATTTCAGGAAAAATTTATTTTTATCTAGACGCAATTTGAGTATTGATATCGAAATTGATTAGTTAGATCTTATAATTAGCATTGAGTACGAGCTCAATCTGCGACTATCCGAAGCCTTAATCTTGGTAAATTTTACTAATGTAGGTTATTTTCTTGATGAGAGTAAACAAATTTTGGATATAGTGAGGGAAATTTAACGTTCATTTTACTTACAAGTTTAGAATAGAATTATTGCAATGCTACTTTATTTTCTCAGAGAAAGTACCAAAGGAAAATGCTTTTCACGGATTTTGTTTAGAATTGCTAATGTAGGTGATGCATGGTCTTGGATTAGTTCAGCTAAATGTTTATATGGCATTGAGTTATAGTCTAGATTAGTTAAAACGAAACCTGTAAGAAAGGGGATAAGGTGTTGATTTGCATGATGGTGCAAAACCGGTTGAATTTTTGAAAGTTTTAAGTTGCAGCCATAATTCGAGAGGCCGATCCCTTAGATTTGTGTTATTTTTGTGAGAATACACAATTAACTGTACTCTGACGGTTTGGTTTGGATTTAGGCATATACACTGGTGGGTGGTACTTGCTTCAAACATTCATAGTTTAAAAATACTACAAAGTACATGTTTCTTCTGTTTTGTCGTAGCATAGTAGTATTATGTGTATATTCAACTTGTTTTCTAGTTCTTTTTTAACAAGAAGCTTTGTTCCTTGCAAAACCATGCCACAAACCATTGCTACCACAATTTTGAACTTCATCTTCAATGTCACTTTTGAGTTTTAGTTCAAGGTACTGGTGTCAACCCCAAATATGTTGTAGTTTTGAACCAATATGCTTTGTAAAATAATTTGACATGGTAAGTACTAATTTATTTAGGAGTAGTAGGTTTCCCAGGTGAGAACAGTATTTACACTAAATTTGTCTAATACTTGAATATGTTCACTCTTTTTGTAGGGAGCACCGTTCCTCCAAATCAGCTCTTTTAGATGGTCTTGAGGAAGGTGGTCTTAGGGCCTCCTCCTCATACTCCCGTGACATTAATGAGCATGACAATGACAAAGCCGTGCAAAGTTTACAAGACAGAGTTGTTTTTCTGAAGAGAGTGAGTTCCATATAAGAAGATCTCTTTACTGGTCATTCAATTGTTGATTTCAACCTTCTTTTCATAAATACCTTAACATTCTTTATATGTTATTAATGAATATCTCTTTCTACAACATTGTAAATTTGATATGTACCCTGTGCTTTTAGACAGTGGATATATATGCTGTAGCCGTTGCATGGCGGATCTTTAGGAACTGATTTGACTGTATCTATTTAGGAGTGGAAGTAGAACATTCATCATTACAGACTTTTCTTCAAATGGTATAACTAGAATCCTGCAAACATCGTTGCCTGATGCATAAGCATGAGAGGGTTCAGGGGAATCTGGCCTGTATTGCCTTTTCTGTCATGGTCCTCAAGATGAACTCAGGTCAATCTTTAGGCCATCCAGTGTATCAGATTTGTCAGATATGTTTGTCAACACCATTAGTAGCTACAATAATGTTTATGAATGCATTCAGGTTATGATATGCTCGATTATTAACATCATTGGATAAATTTCTGTGATGCATAGAGTATCATTGAATAATTGTACAGGAACAGTCCCCAGAAGAGGTGCAGTGTGTTCAATTACATTACGTACAGACACAGCTTGCCTATTTACCATTGATAAGTCTAGATGCACAATGTCGTCATATACTGGCATTAGTGTTATACAATATGTGTTCTTGCACGCATGGATTGTACACAAATCTGATGCTAGAAAGAAACTGTTCCTCCTGATGTTGTTGATTTATATATTAGTGCAGATAGTAAAGAGATGGGCTGGAGTTTGATCATTGTTTAAATCTTACAAAATGAAAATGTTGTACTTGCCTAGATGAAGGATTTAAAATAAATAAGTAAATACAGGAAAGAATGGAAAATGATCTGGGTTTTATTTACAGTTAACAGGTGATATACATGAAGAGGTGGAGAGTCATAGTCATTTGCTTGACCGAATGGTATGCTTGTACAGTTTTTATACACTCCTTATTAAATTCGTTGTTTAAAAAACTATTGTATATATGTCTTAACTTTTTTGAGTATACTGCAAAACCAGGGCAATCACATGGATGCATCAAGGGGTATATTGTCTGGAACCATGGATCGGTTTAAGATGGTACCCAAACTAGATCTCCTATACAACTTTTTCAGTTTCCATCTCTCTCTCTCTCTCTCTCTCTCTCTCTCTCTCTCTCTCTCTCTCTCTCTCTTCTTTTTATATTTTCTCATTTATGGGAGATTAGCTGAGAGATGAAGTTGTTTGCGATGTAGGTATTTGAGAAAAAATCAAGCCGGAGAATGTGTAGACTTGTGGCATATTTTGTGGTTTCCTTCTTAATCATATACGTTCTCTTTAGGTAAAAGTTCATTATGGTATATGCTCTCTTATTGCAATATTAATGCATCTTATTAAGCAGGCAAGGATATCTTGGTTTTGAACAGTATGCATTGTATTCTGATAGAGATGCTTATGCTTTTGACTGATGGACAAATTGATCACAGGAAAAGAGAGATCAAAAGTATGCGAGTGGGAAGGTGGGAAGGTGGGGTTGGTGAGATGGAGATTGTTAAGATGCATATGTGGAAAGTGGGAGTGGATGTCTGTCATTATTAATTAATTAAGATAGATTTGGGAATGATGGTAACAATTCGAAAGGAGGGGGTGGCAACATTCAAAGAGGAAAGAGAAAAAGGAACTAGTGGTGGTTGGATCATGTGCAAGGAAGATCTAAGGTCACGCTGAAATGAAAAAAGGAAAACGGAACAGTACATTCAAGCTAATGGGCAAAAAAAGAGTGAATGGAGACTAAAAATAACATTGGCTGAAGTAGGAGTAGGACCCCAGCAGCTAAGAAATAGGATTCATGTAATCCACCCAAAGAAAAATATTTATGGGATTCAAATTGTGGTATAGATTGTTAAATTATCTCTTTCATTCTGCAACCCATAGCCGTCAATTCCACAAAGTTCCCGATATTAAATTAGAGGCCTACATTGTAAGAATTTTTGGCTTCTACACAAGAATCCTTAAAACTGAACTGCCCCTCTCTCGTTCTCCTATTCTTTCTTTGGTATTTTGGTTGGGCGTGGGTTTTCAACCGTTCACCAGTGTTTCAGACTTTTCTATGTTGATGGGTCTTTTGCCATTTTAGACTTCATTAGCAATTTTCTATGTTGGCCCATTCAGGGTAGTTTGTTACTTTACCCAATAAATGACGGTATACGTTTGCAGTCTTGATTACTTGATCAAATTGTGTGACTGATGTTGGTTTGCTTCTTGTTTGCAGGATTCGCAGAATCTTTATGCATAGCTGAACCAGAATTATAGAAAGCTCCTTTCCCAATTTTTTATCAAAAGAAAAATGGTGGCCCATATGCAGTAACATCATCGGTGCAAATGCATCTCACTCAAACAGCGTGACAGCATGTGAAAATGATTTCAGAGCTGATCTGCAGAAAGAAATATTTTTCATTTCTCAATATAGAGATATTATGCCTGAAAGGATTGGGCAGCTGCTGGAGGTGAGCTGCTTGTTGAATTGTACAAGAACACATACTGAACTTTTGTTTCTTGTTTTACATTTTAAAAGACCTTACACTTTTGCTTTTTCTATTGCATGGCTTTCTGTCTCATGGCATCTTTCGATTAAAGCATCATGCAAACTGATCATAAGAAGAAACCATGCCGGCATTCATACATACCATCCTAGGGACATACATACATACATACGTACGTTCATGCATATACATACTCTTGAATGCAGCTTGTTACATAAGTGGAAGCGTTTATTGTGGGGGCACAAACACAATGGCATGGCCTTACCTGGCTAAAAAGCTGCATTGCCTTGTTACAGGAAAGTATTAGAATTCAGTTTGTTGGTTAGGGTGGGTATTTTATACTCTAGTGAATGTTATCATGTAGTACAAACTATTTTAGTCTGATGGTGATGGGTAATTTGCCTCTGTATCAAACTGAGCCAACTCTCAAACTTCATGATATTTTTAGTCAAAGAAAATAATTTTAGATGGGAAAATTTTGAATTCTGGATGGACAAAGTTGTTGAAGCAGCTTCGTGATTTTCCTGAGACTGTAGTCTGTTGCAGAACTTATCATATGTTATATACAAGCGATATTTGGGGAGGGAGAAGGGGGGTGGGGTACATGGGTGAATGCTCTTAACCAATTGAGCTGCAAGACTAGTCATATTTGGATGGCAGGTGAGCCATATTTGGGTTAGGGTTATTTTATTAGATAATCAGGGAAGCAAATTGTAGGCTTGATGGCAAGTCAACCTGGGTGCCTATGAAGCGTCATCCTTGTAAATTTGGATCTCAAAACAACTACTTTGGACCTTGGTGGCCGGCATGTTATTCTAATCAAAATAAGACTTCTCTTAGCAATGCAAGTTGCAGCTCAACTAGAACAAGCAAGTTCCTTGTGGTAACCTTAGACTTTGCCCAATTTGGACCTAAACATTTTCTAATGGCCAAGTGGGGATAACTGGTTTGATGTGAAATTACAATTCAGCTCATTATTTCTTCCAATAAAGGGGATTAGGTATAGGGCCAAAGGAGATTACGTATATGACCCAAATGAAGGGGCTAATAAGGTGGTGATGTCCTTGGCCCCCCACTGATGAGAGTGCATATCCATAAAATAGCTATATATATTGAGTTTGTAGGGTATATGGGACTTAATTAAGTTTGTTTTGTTTTTGTTTTGTCAAAGACTTAATCTAGTTTAACAAATGAAACCTGCCGACACTCGACATCAATTTGCTTAAACCGGGAAAATAATCAAAGATCAATGTAAAAATCGCAGCAGGAGATGGAATTTACCCAGATACTATTGGCCTCTTCACCCCACAGAAGTAACATTTAGGCCACCGAAGTCTTTATTGGCAATGTGGAATGAAGAAGAGGCGTGGTAAATTAAGCCGACAAAGTCACTAATCAAAGAAAGTAGGTAAAAAGAATATGCTAAGTAAGTCACTAATCCAAAAAGAAGGTTCTTAATGAAATTCCGACGAAGCTGCTTTTGAATTTCACAAGATTTTGCATAGCAGATAGCTACGGACTTTTTCAATCCCTTGTCGATGTTGATCAATAATAAAACTTTGTCATATATGTTTAGACAGGTCTTTGTTTTTGAATATAAGCGATAATCTAAATCCTACAGAAAAGAAGGGTTTATCACATAGTGGTGTCATGGGAGTGCGAACCTAAGACCATTTGTCTGCAAATCAAGACACTTTTCCAATGAACTAGATCCCATTGGCTTGTTTTTGTTTTTTTGAAGTAAGAAAATAGTAGCATAAGACTATTTCTTAATCCCTTGTAACACGGGAGCTACGCGACGCAACTTCTATTTCCAAAGTTGAACCATCATTTACAAATAATTATAATTTATAAAGAGATGACGAAATGTATTGCGCTGGCTTTGGAAAAATTGTCAATAATGTACCAATCATCCTTCGGTTTTGTTTAAGATGTAAGCAACATAATGGTCCATCAACCATTCAATTGAGCCATGTGTCTGCTTACTCTTTTAACAAAATTCAATCAACATCGATCTCTCATGTCTATAAATGCATCGTGTAAAACATGCTCTTGCCCATTGCTGCATGTCACACTCATACATATTATGAAAATTTATTTTAATAAAATTAACCAGAAAATTAAAAAAATAAATTGCTACAATGGTAACCATGAAATATCAACCTCTATATGTTCTAGTGCTCATAGATGATGTTTGAACGGTTCGGATTTTTGAAATAAAATACGGAGTCTCTTAAATAAATTTAGTTGAAAAATCTCTCAACTAAAGCTTTCTAGTATATATCATATATGGGACTCGCAAATTCGGGGCCATCTTGTGGGTAGTTTATATATGCTGCCAAAGCTTTGGGAAAATCCAATGACTCCAAAATAATTCATTGTAATGAAAGTTAAAGTGCACCTTGGATGCCCCACCATGTATAATTCATTTCCTCTTTGTTGATGGATATCCTTGTCATCAAACCAAAGTTACTATGTATTGGGTCGTGTTTTATATGCTAGATTACCTCAAATAATAAGATCTCACAAATTTAACGAAAAAATTAACAATATAATAAATTATTATGATCTGTGTGATTTATGAATACAATTATTGCTTTTTTTTTTAATAAAAAAAACAATACAATGGAGTAACATTTTTTTCTTCTTCCAAATCTGGATTACACAAAATCTAACTTCGCAGCATGTCAGATTCCACCTTCTTCTTTAATAAATATAAATGGATAATGTCACACACTTTAATTAAAGATCTTTGCAACTGTCTGAATGAAACGTATTTAAACAAGAAATTATAAAATCTCTATCACCAGATCTCAATGCTGAATGACAAAACATGCACTAGAGGACATGCAAATTCCTAAATTTTCTCTTCTGAACACTCGACCTCTCTGTCCCCTTCTTCCCCTCTGCTCCAAAACTTCCTCCTCCAACAGTTATATCAACAATTTTGATCGCTTTCGACCCAATCCCTTTGTTTTTTTTTTTGGGCCAAAGGACTATTAATTATTGCTTTTCTAAAGCCACAGCTTAGGATTGTTTCTGAATATAAAACTTCAACTTGCGCTCATCTACATCAAATCTGTCCAAAATTTCTGCCAATAATGCTGTAATCATTGGTCTTACTTATGATTTATTTTTAAATTTGTTATTTTGTCAAATCTATTATACTAAATTACTTGTTTATTTAATTGAACCTCACTGCTTCCAACCTGTTTGCACTTACTTCTAGACCATGACCATGACCGCAACTATTTCTGCCACCATAATTAGAGAGTGCATCATTAGTATTTATTTTGATGGTCCTAAATCGGCATCCGAGGAGATAATATATGGCAAAAGCAAATACGTTATTTGTTGATAGGGCAAAAATCCTCAGACATTGCATCTCCTTGAAAAAGCAAGGAAATACAACTATGGAAGACCTTTGTGATCTCTTCAAATGTGTGATTGCGTAATCCGTCAATCATGTTTTTTTCTAATAGAAGATGAAAATTTTACCATTCTAGTGAGTAGCAATCTAATCTTAATTGTGACAATGAAAATGATTTATCTACTTATTATAGCTAGAAATGCATTGCACTATACCATGTGATATTATCAAATTCGTTTTCTCATCTCATTGATATGAGATGAGAAAACATAACAAGTACTTGCAAATCTCTTGGATTTCATCCTTGTCAATCCTTTATTGGGCAATTTTGCATTGATATAAAGGTTTGATCATAGTATGTTTGAGTTTACCTACTTACTTTACGTCGTCACAATTGACCCAACTGTACGGATGAGTTTTCAATAAAACCTTATAGAATTTCATTTTATTTTTCAAAAAAGAAAACAGTGTTCTTATTATTTTACATTTCCCTCTCTTCAAGAAAAGAAATCATGGGTAGATTCCATTTTAGGCAACAAAAGACTGTAGGTTAAAACCCAAAATGAGAAAAACTGCAAAACCTATTAAAAGGGGGGCCAAGGCAGGTAGCTGTAGTGAGTAGTAGTAGCTAGAGCAAACACCACTCAATGTTACTGAGGAAAAATCTAATCTTAATTGTGATGATGACAATGATTTATCTACTTATTATAGTTAGAAATGCATTTTACTAAAACATATAATGTGATCGACTCCAAGCAATTATTGAAAAACTCTCTCTAGAGAGAGAAAACGCTAAAGAGATAAAAGTTTCAGCCATAACCCACTTTCGGGTCCGTGGCCTCCATCCCTCCTTCCTTCCTTCCTTCCTTACCCTCCCAAACCTTCCCCTCCCTTCTCCACCTCTGCTCTCACACATCCCCCTACAACCCTTCCCTCTTGACTGATCATTTTGGTGGCTGCTTGGCTATATTGGTGACGACGTGGTGACAAATCGGCTTTTATTTACTCGTTTTGTGTGCAGTTAGTTGTAATAAGTGCATCAACTATTTATGAGTTTGTTGTGTGTTTGTAGTACTTGTATTTTCTACTTGTCAGAGTTAAAAGGTTGGAGTTGTAGTTTGGTACCGAGGTATATGTCTAGTTTTTCCATCGACTCTTTTGTCGAACTTTCTTAGGCCCAGTGTGGCTATGAGTCTACACCTTGTGCATTTGATGTTGTTGGTGGACTCATTTGTATTTGGATTAACCCCATGTGGTTATTGTGCTTTCATATTTGTATTAACCATATGTGGTTATATGTATTTATATTGATATTTGTGACTGATGGCTTGTAGGCCTGAATTATGAATGCAATCTATCACATGTCTCCTTAAAAACACATAATATTATCAAATTCGTTTTATGAGGGATTGATATGAGATAAGAAAACATAGCAACTTGCAAGTCTCTAGGATTGGATCCTTGCCAAACGCTCATCAGGTAATTTTGGGTTCATAAAGATTTGAACTTAGTACGTTTGAATTTACCCACTTGCTTTATTTTGTCATAATTGAACCAACTGTACGGATGAATTTGTAATAGAACACTTATAGAATTCCATTTTATTTTTTCCAAAAACAAAACAGTGCCCTTATTATTTTACATTTCCCCGTCTTTTAGAAAAGAAATCATGGGTAGATTTCCATTTTGGGCAAAAACAGACTGTACGTTAAGACCCAAATAAGAAAAAACTGCAAAACCAGAAAAGGGACCGAGGCAGGTGGCAATAGTAAGTAGCTAGAGCAAACACCATCCACACAAGGTCCTCTCGCTCTCAGTCCTCTCCCGCTTTTGCTGAATTAGATCTGTTTATTATTTAGACACTACTGTGGCGCACACGGACACACACTCACAGACAAAACACACACACTTTGTGTATCTATAGGCTCATATATACATATATGTATATATGTTGGGCCCGAGACAACGACGTGATCCCCACCTCCCACGCGCACGCGACCCCACGAAACCCTAACCTTCCCAAGAACCTCTCTCCCTCCCCTTCCAAAAAAGCAGACATCACTAATCTTTTTCTGCTTACTATTTTAGACAGACAGACAGACAGAGAGGAGATATCCAAGAGAAATCAAGAGAGAGATCGAGACAAACGAAAAAAAAGGGTTAAATCCTCAGCTCCCCAAATCACAACAGAGCTTAGCAGCTTATTAGCTTATTAAACACCAAACCCCAGCCACACAAACACTTAATTGTGTCTTTCCCTTCTTCTTTTTTTATTTTTAATTATTGTATTTTATATAAATATACTGTCTTTTAAGTTTCGTTTCAGTCTTTTTCTTTCTGTACTTGTACTGCTTTGCTTAATTTTAATTAATATTCTCTCTTTCTTGTTTGTGCTTAATTGATTCTATCAATCAAGCTTAAGGGTTTTTGCATCTGTTCCATATTCTCTCCACTAACCTCATCACACTTCCCCCATCGCCTGATGATGTTCATCTTTGGGCTACATCTTCATCACCTCTGTAACTCCTAGCTACTGCTCTCTCTCTCTCTCTCCCTCAACTTCCGGCCGCTCTCTCTTTTTTCCTGTGTTGTGTGAGTATATGAATATTATTAGGTTATAGAAGCTTGCTTTGCTTCTTTTCTTTTTCATCTTCTTTTACCCCTTGATGCGTTGTGCGAGTATATTATGAGCTGTATGCATATACATATGCCTTTGACTTCTTGATCTCAAATTCTCAAACAAAAGAGAACAAGGAAAGAAAAAAAATAAGTATAGCTTGTCTTTATATACTCTTCTTGTTAATTTCTCTCTTCCTTGTTACAATTCCTTAAATTTGATCGACAATTGCCACTCTGGCTAACCCCTGGTGGAGCGGTAACTTGGGGCTGCCGGGCATGGACTCGGCAGCCACCAATTCGGCCGCACTCAACAAGCAGCGCGAGCTCGAAATCTCCATCAACGAAAACAACAGCGGCAGAAGCAGCGGCGGAGATGAAGACAGAGACCAAGATGAGCCCAAAGAAGGAGCAGTCGAGATTGGATCCCGCAGGCCAAGAGGCCGCCCTCCGGGATCCAAAAACAAGCCCAAACCCCCCATCTTCGTCACCCGGGACAGCCCCAACTCCCTCCGCAGCCACGTCATGGAGGTGGCTGGAGGCGCTGACGTGGCCGAGAGCGTGGCCCAGTTTGCGAGGCGGCGGCAGAGAGGGGTGTGTGTCCTCAGCGGGAGTGGCTCAGTGGCGAATGTAACGCTCAGGCAACCTGCGGCGCCTGGAGCTGTTGTGGCACTACAAGGAAGGTTTGAGATTTTGTCTCTGAGTGGTGCCTTCCTGCCCGGGCCAGCCCCACCCGGGTCGACGGGGCTGACGGTGTACTTGGCGGCCGGGAACGGGCAGGTGGTTGGGGGCAGTGTGGTGGGGTCACTTGTTGCAGCAGGGCCAGTGATGGTGGTGGCAGCAACATTTGCAAATGCTACATATGAGAGGCTGCCTCTTGAGGAAGATGAAGAAGGTGGAGGAAGTGGAGGAGGAGGGCATAACAATGGGGGTTCAGGGAATTCTCCAACTGGGGGAGGGAGCAGTGGGGCCCAGTTGGGGAGTGGAGGGCATCAGCATCAGCAGCTGCTGCCTGACCCTTCATCTGGAGGGCTGCCTAATATTTACAGTCATCATCTGCCTCCAAATCTGATCCCAAATGGTGGCCATGGACAGCTTGGCCATGAAGCCTATGCTTGGGCAAGACCACCTTACTGAAACTTTGAGGACAAGATCAAAATTGAAGCCTGTGCTTCCATTTTGTTGTATTGAAATATATAAATCTTAGAAAGGAGTTAGAGAGAGAGAAAGCAAGAGAGGGAGGGATGTGAATTAGAACACTAGAAGAGAGAAACTTTGGGTGTCTTCTGGATGTTATAGTATAAAAGCTAGCTAGCTTAGCTTCTTCTTTTGAGTTAATTTACTGCCTTTTGATGATCAGTTTGCAATGAAAAAGATAATAATTGATGTAACTCTAATTTTGAATGGGGGTTCTGTGCTACTAATTGTTCATGATCTGGTGTATTTCCCGTTCTAGTTATTTCTTGTGTAATTTTCTTGGTGGGGAATTTTGGTTTCCATCTAGTTTTTTATTATATCTGTCAATGATTTATAGTTTATTACCTGATATGATGGATTGGACTTGGAAGATATAGTAAATAATTACATTTTTTTTTTTTTTTTTTTTTTTTTTTTTTTTTTTTTTTTTTGGGGTAATAATGGAGAAAATAATTGGTGGAGAGCATGCTTTTTGACAAGCTTTAAATTTCTTTGTTTCTGCTAATATTTAATCAACATCTTTACTGTCTTCAATTCTACACCTCTAGTTTCTCTTCAAATCTGCACCCAACATTCAGGAAAGCTTGCCAGAAAAACATGTGACCTAACTTTTGATTCTGTTTTTTTTATTGTCCCTTTCTTTTTAATAGGATTTATGTCAAATGAATGACAACTAGGGTTAGTCCAACGAACTGAACTTGTATACATACCAGCTTTCCAATTAGTTCTGCAGAGAAATTGTGAAAAAAGTGAAATAAAATATTTTACCTTCTCGATCCGATTTGAAATAAAATAACAATCAAGTAACTTCTCTGTTTTGCCAAGAAGAATTCAATGATCATCTAGGTCTATTTTTGACTTTATCATCAGGGGTTTTTGATTGGGATCATTGATAGGTATTTTTTATTTTGTTCTACACTTTTTTTTCCCCAATTTAATGTAACGTGTGGGCAGGGTTTTCTCTGATTTAAAAAATATGTTCAATTGTAAATGCATCTCTTTTCTGTTCCGGGTTTTTGCTCAACGTAGTTTCTACGGGAAGGTTTTAACGAGACCACTATTAACATGCTAATTTTTATCATTTAATTAATGAAATACCATCTTTTCTTAAAAAGATGAATGAAATTAGCAGCCTAGGAAATCAAAATGTGTGCAAAGTTTGTTTTTTTTCCGAGTAAAACAACGTTTGAGTTGAATCATGATTCATACTATCTCTCAGTCCAAAAGGAGATGTAATGTTCAAATCAGATACCAGACTCTGCATAAGTTTTTGTATGCTCTTGTAGGGATGAACAATAAATACATATTTAATTGAAATGACGTAAAACATAAAAAAGGGAAATTATTCTTTTTTATTCAGTATATATACTATTACTTTGTTAGAATAGTTTTTTGTTCAAATGAAATGACAATTATTCTTTGTAAAATTACTCTAATAGGCTTAATGACTTTTATATAAAAATATCAATTTCTTGAAGATGAGGAACTTGTTAGATCCACAATCCAGAAATATCATTAAATCCACGCAATCGGTTAACTTCTTTGTCTAACGTGTTAGGCGCTAACTTATTAGAATGTGAATCTTCAATATCCAAAATCAATTAGCATTTGGTGGAGAGGGATCACAATCTTGAACTATTAGACAATACTTTAATTTTAGAGGTGGCATTCACACTCTCAACACGCCCTCAACATGCCCTCACGTGTTCGACGTGAATGGCGATAGGGCAGAGATTTAAGCTCTTAAGCTACACTTTCATCCTTCGATGTGAGATACTCTCAACATCTTAATTTTAATATCTTAATTTTGTGTTTTATTAGGTGATTTGGCAGCATGTGAGTTCGTTGAGCGTACCACATGGATAGTCGGATATCATATAGGAATGTAAGCATACAACCCAAAACCAATTGGAGAGGCTGAAAATCTTTGAGCTCTTTATGCTAGACCTCCGTCTTCGATACTCTCAACATAACACACCTAGTTTGTTAACTCCCTAATTCCTACATACCTTTGTTAATTCCCTAATTCCTAAATCATGTATAACTAGTTATGTGACAAATCCCCTTCTCCTTATTAGAAAAGAGACTAATGAGGTTCCAATTTGATTGGAAAAATCCTCACGTAATTTAATAACATACAGTTTTAAATCCATAAAAAATACAATATTTATGTGGATTACTTTTGAAATTTTCTCTGGATTGTTTTAGAAATTTCTAGAAGAAATCATACTGCACTTTTTTGTTTGAACGAGTTCTTTTATAATAGAAAAATAATAATTCCCCTCATGGATCGCACGGTAAATACAAATTGGAAAACAAAAAACCATGGTTCTGGAGATCAATTATTAATGCATTAATCAGTCTCTAGCTGCCATGGAATTGAAATAGCAATCTTTAACATCAGTCAATTTCTCCAAGTGCCAGCAAGTAGTTGTAAAAAGTTAATCAAAACTTTAAACGTGTTTACAGTTAATTAATCAACCTCTTTAGTGGATTTTCTACCCAACACTCAAAGGATCCTAGAGTAATTAACAACATGGAGGACCCCCTTCACATGGATTCACGTGCCCTAGTTTTAAAATCCACAATTTAAAATTATGATCAACATTCAAAATGCTAATTAAAGTCGCAATGTCCATCCATGGGACCCCTTTGCTTCAATAATTACCAGCTCTGTTAATTTAATAATCCTCATCAACACACACATTGATAAAACAAAACATATTCTCTCCCTCCTTTTCTTCTTCCAACTGCCTTTCCTCAGTGTAAGCACATGACCACTTGCAACTGTTTATATCTCTCAGGCTCTGAAAAGCCACTTCATTAATTTTTTATTTTTTATTTTTAAAAAGGGGAATCCACTAAGCTTGGATTAATGAATTGTAAACCACCCATTAATTAATCCTTTTTATATTAAAGTCAGTGAAATTATAAATTAATTAAGCTTAAATTGGATGGTGGTGCTGCAACTAGACATCACACAAGAGGAGAAATTGAAACACTTGTTGTCTTGATGATCCTGTCATGGAGTACACGCACGCCAGCCCTTTGGATATCCAATCAACTCCGGTTTAACCTAATTCAAACGCATCATCATCTCCTTTCTCCAGGGTGAGGAGGCAACTTTCACAACAAATAAATAAGCAAGTAGGTTGAAATTAATTTCCAAGTTTCTTTACTAATTAAGTCAATGTGTTATTAACAAAGAAAAACCCCAAGTTTTTAAGTATGATTAACGTGGTTTCATATAATTGTTAGGTCATCTTAGATAATCATTTCTGAAAAATAATTCATTTGAAAGTGATTGGTCATATGTAATCAATTGATTGAGAACCAATAAATAAATAAATAAATAAATATGTATTTACCTTATCCAGAAGAAGATTTCCAACAAGGCGATTACTGATTACTTACTTTCGATGGATATTGTATTCAAACAATATTTGTAAAGAACTGATTTGGAAACAAAAACATTAGTTTGTTACTAATTATGGAGGTAACAAAGTATTGATGTTCATAATCATGTTTGATCACCAACAAAGACTACTGCCTTCTTAATGTCCGGGATTGACCAAGTGGTCAGCGAAGGTGGAGAAAATTGTTTAGGATTTGAATAGGTTAAATTGTCGGTCCTTTATAATATAGTCAAAAATACAATTCATGAAGCTAATAGAGTCTAGTCCAGTGGAAAAGGGCCTTAATTTGCAATATGTGGTCTTAATTTTGAACTCTCATGTCACCTTGACAGTGTGTGTATGTGTGAAAACTCCCCTCCCCAATAACGCTTGTATATATAAAATATATAAAAAATATATATATAAAAAGAAAGATACAATTCATGAATATATCAGCTCCCAATCCCTATAAAACAAAAGAAAGTGTTAAAAACTTACCAAAAACCTTGGGGCCAAAATCTTCTCAAAGTTCCAATATAATTAAAACAGGTTTTTGGCAGATTGGATAGTACAAGAAGATAGGCACAAAACATCTATGTATGCCATACGGTCACTACGGATCATGGAATTTTATGCCTTTAGGCTTAAAAAAAGAGAGTAATCACATCAGAATCCTAGGATAGGATATATACATGAAAAAGATTTATGCTTGTCCTCTACAAACTGCCTCATTTATATTAATTGTATTTTGATATCATCAGTGACATAAAACCTAAGAGCAAAAGAATAAGGAATAATGAACTTTTGGGAATGTCCTTCAATGAGGGAAAAGTAATTCCCCCCTCCCCCCCCCAAAAATCATATTTCGAGAAACATTATGAAATTCCTTGGTGAACTCTCATGAAGTAAACAAATCCAACAGTTCTACGTTTAATTAATTATGGTCCCTTAAGTTACAATTTTGGGAATTCAAGAACTAAAGGTAATGGACAATTTGATAATGTAAACAAATGCTTCAAGCATTTCCTATGCAACTATATATTTTAACGAAAGTTTGTGCTTTAAATTAGGCACCTTCTCGGTAATTAAAGAGAAATTATATAATAATACTGCAGTACGGTCACGTAATAAAGGTGGAACTACATATAGGCCACCTTCGACTATAGACCAATGCAACCTTGGTCAAAAATACTTTTTATAGCAGGTAATTTCAAGATTTTGACATTTAGCCCACCCCAGCCAGCTCCCATATGTGCAAATTCTTCACTTTTAAGGCTGGCTAGTTAAGAAAAGTCGTTGTTTTCAAGTTTTATATCATGTTAATTGAATCGTTCAAGTTCAAAAAAAATTAAAATTTAATTGTTCTCGGTTTGACTTAATTTTGTTTTATCGTTTAACAAAATATTAGCCCACCCTTTTGCAATTTTTTAGTTCCACTCTTGCACGTAATATAACTCATATAAGTGTTATAATATGAATGAACTAGGTTCAAAATATTTTTTCATTTTAGGTACCATGTGATCATACTACCGTACTACACTATAA